TTAGAACATCAACAAACATTTACTTGAACTCGAACCGAACTTTTGGTCAGGTTCGAGTCTGGTTCGAAATTCGAACCAAACTCGAATCAGACTTTTAATTAGGTTCGAATTTTTGAACCAGACTTTTCGTCAGGTTCGAGTCTGATTCAAGCTCGAACTGAACCAGACTCGAACTGAACCAGACTTTTTTTCGGAACCCTACATGTAATACATACTAATAAATAAAAATAAAAATCTGTTTCTATTATCAGAGTAAAAATGATAAAGATCTGACATACTTTTATTTTTTTTTACTGGATAAAAAATGGAACTATATCGGATCTTCTAAAAAACAGATTTTTGCTAAAGTAAAACTGGATTTCTTATATAGATACATTTTTTATCCAGTAAAAAAAAAAACAGAAGTATGTTAGATCTTTTAAAAATCATTTTTACTCCAGCAATAAAAACAGATTTTTACTAAAATAAAATCAAATTTTTTGTATAAATCCATTTTTTATCCAGTAAAAAAAAATAAAAGTATGTTAGATCTTTTAAAAATTGTTTTTACACTGGCAATAAAAATGAATTTTTGCTAAAGTAAAACTGGATTTTTTGTATTGATTCATTTTTTATCCAGAAAATATTCCGGATAAAAAATGAATCAATACAAAAAACTGGATTTTTGCCTGATATGTTCGAAAATTTTTTTTTACAGGGGCAGGTAAACCAGGAGTTAAATGGTTCAATAAATTCTTAAAAGATTATGATCTAATTTCCAAATACTTACGAAAAATGGATGCTGTTTATAGTGTGGTAGCACATGAGACTAAGAATATGATTCACGCATATACTATTGCTGGAGAATGTCTACACCACAACTCTGACAACCATACTTTACCTATACAAAATTATGTTGTAGTCAATTATAGAAAAAGAGGAGTTCCTAATGAACAAGCAAGACCATTTCATATCTATGATTAAGATTAATTACGCTTCTTTACTTTCATCACATCTACAGTAAAATCTTTATTATCATTAGATAATTCAGAATCAGATCCAGACCCAGATAAAGATGAAGATGAGGATGAGGATGAGGATGAAGATGCTGTATCATTTAAAAATTTCTTTTTTCTTTTAGTCTTAGATGGTGTACAATTTCTTCAAGAAATATCTGGATTTGTTATTAAGTCAATAATCTTTAGTCCAATTTCAGGTTTCACTATTTCCATTAATTGGTGAAGAGAAATCAAAATTCTTCTATGTGATATCTGTTTAACAATATTAAATATCACTTTATCAGTAATATCTGCCTTGGTACTAGCTTCGCTATTGGGTAAACTTTTATCTTTTTTGAAACCCAATTTTTTCGTAACCTTATAAGTGATAATTGAACATCCTGAACTCAAATTACAAACTACTTCTGTATCCCTATCATTGATCAATATTGATAATTTTTTCACTGATTCTATTAATGATGTGATTTCATTATCATTCTCTTGTAAATTCTGATGAGCTGGTCCAATATTGCTATTAGCTACAGTCATTATAAATGCAAATTATTATTTATTAATACAAATTTAAAAATGCAGAATTAAATATATTGTTATAATAAAACATCACGATGAGAATTTTATCTTGCAAAATTAACAAAGTACCAGTTAAAACTATATTAAATTCTGGTGCTAATTGTAATATTATAGGCAAGAGTATAGCAAAAATAGTAGACTTGAAAATTGATAATAAATCTGATACAGAAATATATAGTCCCATTAGCAAGCTCAATATATTAGAAATAATTCATGCAATGAAAATTTCAGTCCTGTCTCAAGATTAGAAATGGAAGCAAGTAAAAGTTACTGATGTTTTCGTTACCAATAAATCCAAACTTGAATCTGTACTAATATTGGGTTAGTCATAGTTCCAGGAAAATGCAATGAAAGTGGACTTTCCAAATAAAACTCTTACATTCTTCGATGAAACTAGTTATAAGGTTAAGTGTAATTGAGAATATCTGGAAAATTCATAATATATATACCTAAAATTAATTATCTGAACATTAGCTATTTTTTTTATTAAAGATATATAATATACAATTTAAGAATAGTACAACTATTGCAGAGCAAAGACCCAAAGGATTTAAATATTTTTGATTTACTGGAATTACTAGAACAGATCTTATATTTTTTAGAAATTGATCGATCTCTTTATCCCACTTTGTTTGTCAACCACTTTTGGTATCACTGTGGTACTCTTATTCTATGGCATCACGTTGAGTTTATCAATGAAAATTATCAGCAGAGTTGGTGTGCCTTAAATATGTCTCGAGTTCTTACTTGGCAATTGATAAATTTTGAAAGAGTTATGCATAGAAAAATAAAGTCATTCTATTGTTCAAAGATGATATATCTCAGATTAGAAGGTTTAAAAATTTCAGATGCTTTAATAAGTACAATTTTGCATTTGTGTCCGGATATATGCTTTCTCATTCTTGATAAAAGTAAGGATTTCACTAATATACCAATTATAGAAATTGTGAGATTTTCTCCAAAACTACAACATCTGAGTCTTAATTCATGCATATGTCTCACTAATCGATGTATTACTAAAATTACTCGCTTGTGCCTAAAACTTAGACATTTTGAGCTTGGCTATTATTCGATTAATAATAAAGCTGTCGAGAAAATAGCCAGCAACTGTACTAATTTGAAATATCTTAGTTTGGAGGGATGTAAAAAGATTAACAAAGAAATAATGAAAAAACTTAATCCAAAAATTAAAATCGAATATACTGATTATTCGGATGAAAAATGGACCAATTCTGATCTATCTCTATCTATTTCAATGTTTACTGGTACATTATTAAATGAAACAAATTTTATTTCTGTGTTCAGTAATTGTATCAGAAAAATTGGCAGAATTAATCCTAATCATTCATGATTTACAAATAATTTTACTTAATGTCAAAGAATAGAATGAGTAATCAGGATATTTAACAGCCTTCAGCTAATTTCAAACAAAGAATTTTTATTTGCTGTGATGTATATATATTTGTGATAATTTTTCTTGTTTTACTTTTAATTCTAGATATAGACACTGATTGGTACTAGTCAATTTTTTGACAAAAATTTCATGCAATTATTAAGGAGAGATATTTGAAAATAATGGTAGTTCCTCATCAGTAAACCAAAATTTTTTTACCTTTATATCAGCGAATTTTTTTATTAACACACCTAGATCATCTTTTAAGAGGCCATGAAATTTCTCAAATCTTTGAAGGTACACTCTTACATTTTTATCAGCTTCTTCTGCTATTTCTTCATTAGTATAACCAACAATACCAAGTTCTTCCTGAATTGTATTTATATCCTCTTCTAAGTATAAAAGCAAATTAAATAATTTTAAAAGTGACAAATTGAAAGAATCTCTATTGTTTTGATTTGCCACATTATAATATTTCACTTTCAGAATGGAGTTGCCATCAATGTCGAGATTTTTTTGTATCAGTATTAAATCTCCCATCAAATATAATAGCAACTTATATGAATTAGCAAGTGTTTTTCCATCAGACTCGTGTTCTACTATTAAACTCGTGTTCTATTTGCTTTAACATATTACTATTAATACCAAGTTTTTTCTGAATAGCTATTATATCCTTTTTCTTATATAAAAACACCTCATATAATTGAGGAAATTTTTCACTTGAATCAGTTTTATTATTAGTATTACTCATCATAATTATTATAATATAATAATATAATTAATGTGTATAAATATATAAATTAAGTAAATAAGCAAATTCAATCTGAAAATAATTATAATCACATCATAACTTCAAAATTACATGATATTATAATGAGTCTCAATGGAACGATGTCATATATTTTATTTCAAAGAAATGACTCTTTGAGCCTAAATTCATGAATCAAAGATTAGCATAGAAGAAATGACACTCTGTGTCTCGTGAACATGCATAATCACTGATAGAAAGATAGTTGATTTATCTATGAAGTAATGCACTTCATGCCTGATCAAGATTGATAATGTGTAATAGTTATCCGAAAAAATTGATTATAATAGTAAATATCAAGTTGAATTGGTCAGGCCTTCAGAGGATGTTAATATGTACATTAGCACTATTCAAAATCAATAGTCTATGCTTTCACTATTACTATTTGGATTGAATTTTGATAGGTCTCATAGCATTGCAGACGATAAGTTCTTGTATTGACATAATCATCACTACCTCATTTACCTTCTATATTATCTCTTATATTTTCTTTTTTATGATCTTTATTGCATATAGGACAGGATACTGAACTATTAAAATCAAAATAATCGTAATTTTTATTGCTATCCTTCGAAGATAAATAAGAAAATCGTTCTAATACCATTTTAATAATATGTTGTTGCCTTTCTTCTGAATCTTTAGGTAGAACAGAAATTGGAAATTGTCATTTAGATAGTGTAGGCTCGAAGAGTCATTACTCTGTAATAGATTGAATATTTATTCATAGTACAAATAAAGTTTTTTCTTCAAAAGATATCTATGTGAATTGAGCATAGATTTTTTCTCATTCTTTCATAAGATCATTGAGCCATGCAGTACTCAAATCACTTTTTAGTATACCTTGACGTAATAACTCTTCATCAACCAGCCTATCACGATTTGTTAGAAATTCACGATATTTTCTAGGATCTTTTTTTCTTTCTATTCCATCACGATAGAAATGTTGTCACGAGTCCCGGGCTCAGGTAGGTAATCTCGTGATGTGGATGTTCAACCAATATCTATTTCAATATTTCAATGATTCAATCCAGTTGCTTTTAGGATCATGGCGCAGTGCAGCTTCTTTTATTCTATTAAATTAGAATAGGTAACACTACTACTAATAAATATTTACTTAGTCCCTGTAAAAAAAAATAAAAGACAAAAATCAGGAAAAAATCCAGTTTTTTAGTTCCGGAAAATCACAGGTTTTGTAA